GTCTCCTGCCTCAGCCTCCCAAGTAGCTGGGACCACAGGTGCCCGCCACAACGCCCGGCTATTTTTTGGTTGCAGCCATTATTGTTGTTTGGCGGGCCTGGGATGGATTCAAACCTGCCATCTTAGGTGTATGTGGCTGGCGCCTTAGCCGCTTGAGCCACAGGCGCTGAGCCGGCACAGTCTGTTCTAAATTAAGGGCCACAACTCTGAAAAATTGGTGAATCCTGGGGCACATTTTCTCAGAAATGAAAAGATGTCATCCTGGCTATTGGCCACAAACACTTAGCTCAGAATAAACCTCTTTAAACAAACAAAAAAAAAATTGTTGACTCCTCAGTGGTAGCTTTGCTATGTCTTTGTGCTCTGATAGGAGGGACCTTATGTGGCTCACGCCTGCACTGTGGGAGGCTGAGGTGGGAGGATTGCTTGAGCTCAGGAGTTAGAAGCTTGTCTGAATGAGAGTGAGACCTCAACTCATGCAAAAAAAATGGAAAACCCAGCCGGCCGCTGTGGCAAGCGCCTGTAATCACAGCGGCCTCGGCCTCAGAGGTTGAGGCAGCAGGATGCCTGCAGCCGGAGTCTGAGGTTGCAGTGAGCTAAGACGCCACTGCACTCTGCTCCGGGCACAGGGTAGAACTCTGTCTCAACAACAACAACAACAACAACAACAAACTACAAATGACCTCAAAGACCCTGCCTCTACCTTTCTTCTCCGACAGCTGACATGTTGCTGTAGAGGTGTGGAGCAAGTCTTTATTTTCCTGATATATTGCAATTTTTAGGTATATTCCTCCAACCAATGTTCAGATCTAAATGAAAAACAGGCTCAGCACCCGTGTCACAGTGGCTATGGTGCCAGCCACATATACGGAGGGAGGTGGGTTCCAACCTAGCCTGGGCCAGCTAAACAATGACAACTGCAACAAAAAAAAGCTAGGCATTGTGGCAAGTACCTATAGTCCCAGCTACTTGGGAGGCTGGGGCAAAAGAATCACTTAAGCCCAAGAGTTTGAGGTTGCTGCGAGCTGTGATGTCATAGCACTCTACCAAGGGCAACATAGTAAGACTCTGTCTCGGAAAAAAAAGAATAAAGGAAAAACAGTCCAGGAAGAACAGATGGCAAGTGCAAAGGCCCTGATCTTGACTGAACTGAGTATCCTTAGAGGAGAGGGACTGGTGGCAGGTGGGCCAAATCTCTGCAGTACTGCACAGGCCAGCCTTGTAGTTCATATTTTATCCCAAGGGTAATGGAAATTATTGAGAATGCCTGAGGCAATTACTCTGGTGGGACTGGCATGTGTCTGATTTTTATTCTATCTCCCATTGATGATTCCTCAAACCTGTACTCTAGCCCAGGGATACCAATTCACCAGCTTTTTTTTTTTTTTTGGAGACAGAGTCTCACTTTGTTGCTCTTGGTAGAGTGCCATAGCATCATAGCTCACAGCAACCTCAAACTCTTGGGCTCAAGTGATTCTCTTGCCTCAGCCTCTGAGTAGCTGGGACTATGGGCACCCGCCACAATGCCCAGCTATTTTTAAAGAGGAGGTCTCGCTCTGGCTCAGGCTGGTTTCGAACCTGTGAGCTCAGGCAGTCCAATTCGCTTCACCCTCCCAAAGTGCTAGGACTATAGGCATGAGCCACTATGCCTGGCTCCCAATTCACCAGCTTGATGTCTACACCCTTATACTTCTGCTTCACTACATATGAAGACCCCATAAGACCACAGTGTCAGACTAATTTGGGAGTTTGATTTTAGGTATTTCTTGATACTTTAATCATTCTATAATTTTTAAATCTCCCTGGAATGCTTTGGAGATATATTCAGATCCAGTCACAGAAATATGTGTAATTCCTCTTGGCATTCAGGAGGATTTTTTTTGTTTTTTCAGTTTGTTTTGGCCTGGGCTAGGTTTGAACCCACCACCTCTGGCATATGGGGCTGGTGCCCTGCTCCTTTGAGCCACAGGCTCAAATCCCAAGGAGGAATTTTTAAGTTTGTTTTTGTTTTGTTTTGTTTTCTTGAGACAAGGTCACTCTGTCACCTGGGCTAGAGTGCCATGGGTTCAGCCTAGCTCATAGCAACCTTAAACTCTTGGGCTCAAGCAGTCCTCCTGCCTCAGCTCCCCAAGTACTTGGGACTACAGGTGCGTGTCACCATGCCCACCTAGTTTTCTACTCTGTTTTTAGTAGACATAGAACCTAGCTTTGCTCAGGCTGGTTTCAAACTCCTGAACTCAAGCAATCCTTCCTACTCGGTGTCCTAGAGCAGTGGTTCTCATCCTTCCTCATGCCACAATCCTTTAATACAGTTCCTGTGGGTTGTGACCCATAGGGTGAGAACTGCTGTCCTAGAGTGTTAGGATTACAGGTGTAAGCCATGTGTCTGCCTGTTCTTTGTTATTTTTTTGAAGACAGAGTCTCACTTTGTCACCCTTTGGTAGAGTACCATGGCATCATAGCTCACAGCAACCTCAAATTCTTGGGTAAGCGATCCTCTTGCCTCAGTCTCCCAAGAAACTGGGTCTATAGGTACCCACCACCATGCCTGGCTATTTTTAAGAGACAGAGTCTCACTCTGGCTCAGGCTGGTCTTGAACCTATGAGCTCAAGCAGTCCACCCACCTTAGCCTCCCAGAGTGCTAGAATTACAGGCGTGAACCACCATGACCAGTCTGAAATCTTTTTTTTTTTTGAGATAGAGTCTTACTATGTTGCCCTCAGTAGAGTGCGGTGGTGTCATAGCTCACAGCAACCTCAAACTTTTGGGCTTAACTGATTCTCTTGCCTCAGCCTCCCAAGTAGTTGGGACTATAGGTGCCTGCCAAAATGCCTGGCTATTTTTTCTTACAGTTGTCATTGTTGTTTAGCTGGCCTGGGCAGGGTTCTAACCTACCAGCCTTGATGTATGTGGCTAGTGCTGTAACCACTATGCTACAGGGCGCCAAGTCCTGGCCTGAAGTTTTTTAATTAAGAAATGTATGGAGGGATCACTTCTGAGGTTTATCTTATAGGGGTACAAGTGAA